TTATATTATGGAGATACAATGTGAAAAAATATATATAAACCCTCTTATTGAAGTCTAAGATGGAGAAGAAGTCCCAAAATCCGGATAAAATGGATAAATCGCGATCAAGTTACTGTTGCAGCACCTAGGCGCTACGCCTAGAGCTCAGGCGCTATGTGCCTAGCGCTTGGGCGCTAGGTCTCTGGTAAACATTGCAAAACATGTTTTTTGCCATCCAAGAGTCCCCTTTTAAGCCAAACTCCGAATTATTATTGAAATTTAATCTTCACAACTTAGGACTCTTCAAACCCAAGTATTTTAGATTTCGTTCAATTAACCAAATCCCAAATAACATGGAATCCAATCAACCAAATACAAAATCACATGGAATTTGGATCACACCACAACAATATCATTAAAAAAAATGGCTATATGATGTCATTTATTAAGGCCCTGTTTGTTTTTGATTAAAATCAAAATTTAATCTAAGTCAAAGTCAAACAATCAATATTAACCACATCTTTTATGGGTCACACAACTTTTCAACCACACATTTCAAAAACTTACAATCTACTAAAAATTTGATTTTGATCCCCACCAAACACCCTCTAAAAGTAAAACAGCTAATTTAAGCATTATATTTGTAGTCTCCAATAAATCTAGGGACCTAAGCATACAAACTATAATTTCCCACTCGAACACCCTTTATCATGAAGTACCCCATGTCATCAGCTTGTGTCCAGAATTGATAGCCCTGTGGAAACAGAAAGGAAATAAAAAGAATCATTAAGAAAGCTAAACCTCATAAGCTAGTCCATTCTAAATGAAAATATATGCATCAAGAATTAAAACCTTATTTTCTCTTTACCATGAACCAGTGTCTCCAGAAATAGCCAATCCAATATAAGTAGATCTTGGACTTATAAGCCTTCGATTGATATAACTGGATATACTTAAGTTTTAAAATTTCCATTTGTTTCATTTACCATTCATTTGATCTGAGTATTGAAGTCATATTTGCGCAATAAAAGTGACAGCACAACATGAATATTGATATCAGAACATAATAGAAGGATATACCTGTCACGGTGTCACGGACCGCAGCTTTACTTAAGCCCCATGACCTTATCACAGCCACAGTTTCCCAACTTCGGCCACACATTGTAGATATTTCATTTAATTTCACCAGCTCTGATACTAACTTTCACGGTGCCCTTTCTGTGTTAAGAAGAAAAGT